CAATATAAAATATCAGCTAGTAAAGTTGTACATCGGAAAAAATTTTATCACATTGGTAATGTTTCAAAGACTTGTGCATCCAATGTTGTTGACCACCTTGAGTCAATTGATTTTAAAGTTTTGTCTTGCTACCCTGTATTCAAGAGGAGAGATGACAAAATAAAACTTGATGAAACCCACCCTTCTACGTCATTCCGGTTGTGTGTAGATGAGAAGTATGCGGAAATAGTTGAAAGATCAAGTTCTTGGCCTGATTATGTTCAGGTTAGGAATTGGGTTTTCAATAACATCAGCAAAAGTGGCAGCACCAGAAACGCCGATGTAAATGTCAGGACATGTTCTGATGCGAAACGATGATATGAACTAGTGTCATGTTTTATTTGCAAACTTTAAATTTATGATTTGTTAATTTGACTTAATTTTTTTCATTTACCCGCTATTTTTATATTATGCAAGTATACATTGTATATTCGTTTAATGTACATTGTGGATAAACTGTTGACTTTTTACAATCATTTCTTTAATTTATTGTTACTGGATTTTGAGAGTGCCTGTGAGATTTCATTTAATAGGCGCTATACAAATGCATTTAATAATATATATATATATATATATATATATATATATATATATATATATATAATATTTGTAAATGTCAATATAAATTATTTGGTTATTATTTTGTATCGTCCTCCTAGCTCTGATGTAAATTTGTTTTTAAACGATTTATCAACCCTACTTCTATCAGTTAACTTTAATGTGTTTACAAATATATATATCATTGGGGATTTTAATATTAATTTATTTGATGACGATTATAGACACATTCCAACTCAATTTATAAACTTGTTAAATTCGTTCGGTTTTTTTTCACTTATATCTCTTGCTACACGTGTCTCATCTACTAATAAATCATTACTTGACAATATCTTCACAAATAATATCACAGGGCATAGGTCTGGTGTCATTATATCATCTCTTTCTGACCATTTTCCTATTTTTTCGTCGTTTGTCATTCCTTGTCTTAATTTACCTAAACCTTCTATTGTATCAATTAATTATTCTAGTTTTAATATTGATTTGTTAAATACTTACCTTTTCAACTAGGATTGGTTTTCTGTTTTGAATTGTCATGATGTTAATTTGGCTATTAAAAGACTATAAAAAGTATGTCAGCTATGGTGTTAATGATTCATTTGTTTTGTTTGAGTGTCTTCCAAATGAAATTATTGACGTTGTGAATAACTTTGGGAATACTCATAGCTGTGGTGATGATCTCATATCTAATTTTATGCTTAAAAAAATTATTCATAGTTTTTTATTACCCTTGGTCCAATTGATTAACATGTCATTTAACAAAGATGTTTTTCCTAATTGCCTTAAATTTTCTAAAATTTTACCTTTATTTAAATCTGGAGAACGGCATTCTATAACAAATTATCGACCAATTTCTGTGCTTTCTAGTTTATCAAAGTTAATTGAAAAAATTGTTCTTAACCGTCTTAATAAATTTTTTTATTTCCGTGATGTAATTTGTTTAAATCAGTATGGTTTTAGGGATAAATTATCGACTGAATTTGCAATAATTGATGTTGTGAACTTTATCTCTCTTGCTCTCGAATCTAAAAAATATTCAATTGGCGTTTTTATTGACCTGTGCAAGGCTTTTGATTCTTTAGATCATAAGATTTTGCTATATAAATTGTTTTCTTATGGAATTCGTGGTCTGCCTTATGAATGGTTTTGTTCTTATTTACACGACCGTTCCCAATATGTGTCTATTAATGATTCTAAGTCCTCATTATCGCCAATTAATTCCGGTGTTCCTCAAGGTTCAATCCTTGGTCCATTGCTCTTTAATATCTTTATTAATGACTTTATCAACTCATTAAGTATTCTAAAATTCATTCTGTTTGCTGATGATACTACTCTATTATACTCTCATTCTGACCTCAATTTTTTAGTCTCCGTTATTAATAATGAATTGAAGCTTATTTATAATTGGGTTGTTTATAATAACCTGCGTATTAACCTGGATAAAACATGTTTTGTTTTGTTTGGTCCAAAGATTAGAACCGATATTGTTTTCCCTATTGTTTTGCTCAATGAACAAACAGTTAAGAGAGTAGACTCTACCAAATTTTTAGGTGTTATCATTTCTTCTAATTTATCATGGTTAGCTCATATTAAGCACATTTCATGCAAATTATCTAAGAATTTAGGGCTTATTTATCGCCTTAGATTTAAATTTCCTAAGTTTATCCTGCTAACCTTATATAACTCTTTCGTTCTGCCATATTTGACATATTGCATCTCCGTCTGAGGTTCTGCCCCTATATCTAATCTTCATATTTTAACCTTGGCTCAAAATTTCTTCATTCGTATTCTATTTGATTTGTATAAATTTGATCATGTAACCCCCTATTATCATTTATCAAACATCTGCAACATAAATCACTTATATGTCAAACATCTGTTAATTTCCTTTTTTAAAATATACAAATTATATTATTGTCTACCATTATACAATGAACTTATTTTGTTCAAAAACACTGGACGTGAATGTTTACGTTATACTCCCGATTTTCGTTCTTTTAAACCTCGAACAAACTTTTTTCTCAATTCTACCCTATCTTCTTCTATGCGCTTCTGGGATACTCTACCTGTCAATATAAAGACTTCTCCTTCACTCAGTCTTTTCAAAACCTCGATTTGTCAGCTCATCTCATCATTGTTTGTTATCTTTACTTAACAAATATATCATCTTATATTATTATTTTCTATTCTTGTGGCTTAACGTACTCATGTAATAGAGATAACTATTTTTGCTTATTTAACTACTTTTCTAAAACCCTCAGTTCATTTAATTTTAATGAAATATTCTATTCATTTTTTGTTTGCAACTGTTCATTTTCAAATATTTTTGTTTATCACTACATCTTATCTATAGAGACACAATTTTAGTTAAGGTGGTCAGCGTTGGTATCTTGTTGTTGTTGTTGTTATTGTTGATGTTGTTGCAACCTACAGCGCAAATATCAGTTGCAATTGGAACATCATCAATAGTGACAACCCTAACAACAACATCAACAACACCAACAACAACATCAACAACAACAACATCAACAATAACAACAACAACAACAGTGCCAACACTGTAGATACCAACGCCACAACCCACAGCGCAAATATCACTTGCAAATGGAACATCATCACAAGAAGCAAGAAGAACCACAGCGATGATAATAATAACGTTAACAATAATAATAATAATAATGTTTTTAAATATTGTCAAAATTATATTAATAATATGTAGTTAATTAAATAAATTAATTTGCGCTTCTCGGCTGAGCGTTGATATTTACCTTAACAACCATAATATAAGCAATCTTGCCGTTAAAAAAAAAAAAAAAAAATTTTTTTTAATTTTAAAAATCGCGTTTTATATTGTTTATAGTTATTAAATTTATTTTATTGGATTTCTGTTTTAATTAAATAATTTATATAAATTAATAATTACTTGTTCCTTTATATCAAATATCTTACATACCTTATATATAATGCACTGAAGATGAGTTATTTATAACTCGAAATAGCTATTTGCAAATTTATTTAATAAAAATTTAAAAAAAAAACAATAAAATGTCTAATTTCTCGGAAATTAATAAATTAAAAAGAAATATGAAAAAGTTGAACAATGTTGAAAGTAGTGTTGAATTTTTGAAATGTTGCGTTAACAATAGTCTGTTACCAAAATATATATATATATATATATATATATATATATATATATATATATATATATATATTGTATGATCACAGCAGAACATGTATATATGAATGTCGAACATCCGCTAGTTATGAAAAATTTGAAAACTTGGTTCACACAGGCTTGCGTGCGATGATATTGTGATGATGTGTTTAACATTTGCTCATTCCTTCATCAAATGTAAAAATTAAATTTTACAAAATAAACATCACTGCAGGTGCAATCTACCGAGTATTAAGAAAACATTTTGTGCAATTTTGTTCGCCAAAAAATAACGGAAAACAGATGTAATAAATTGTCAAGTTGATGTATAAAGAAAAAAAAGTCGGTAAGTATAAACTGGTGACCTTAGCTTCTTTTAGAATACGCACAATTTTCAAAAAATATTTCTATTAAAACCAAAATTGAACTTGATATAATTGTTTTGAGGCTGAAATAGTTTTCAGTCCAAATTTCGACAAATTTGAAAAGAGATTTCGTTTTATTTAGCGTTCACCCTAGCAAAGCATTAAAAACGTTATCGAATTTGATAAAAATTATTAATACAAAAGTTTTGTATAGAGTCTTACATTCACAATTTAATAATAATATTTTAAAATAATAAAGAGTTTTTCAAAATGCATCTACAATATTTTGGCATCTCCATCTGAGCAACAAAAGAAATTGAAATTATATAGATAAACATCATAACTGGATAGGTAAATGATATCGGCAGCCTGAAATAACGTTGAAACCAAAAAATTCTTGTGTGACTACTACTACCACTACTGAGTTTAAAACATGCATAAAAAAAGCTATTACATGAAAACAAAGCGTTCCTATAATCAATTATTTGCATTTATTCTTGAACAATGTTGATTGCATTGTTAAACGTTTTGTTTAAAAATTTATGTTCTCTATGCATATCATTACACGGGCAATTGTCTGCCTGTTAAATATTTGACAGCAATTGCTATAAAACACTCAAAAATTTTTTTTACGTAATAGGCCATCCGTAGTTTTCATCATGAGTTTAGTTATCGTTACCTTTCACTTCGCAACATGGTCATGACAACAACTCACGTTCATGCCTATCCCCGTAGGAATTAATGACATAAGTAAAGAGAGCTATTAAAAAAGCTATTATATATATATGATATCGTGATAATGCAGTTCATTAATGTTATTACACTTGGATAACAACGAAGACAACAATGAGGGCGGCACCATCTTTCTCATTGGTGAACGTTCCTCAATAAGAAACGTTGAATATCTGCTGTATCGGCTGCATGTACATTCTCGTCTGCCTGAAACGTATCACTTGACCTTTCACGTTACGCCAACACGAGTTGTAGGAGTTCAAGGATGACAAGCAGTTTGTGCGGCTGTCGTTGAAAAGGGTTGAGGTGGTGTTGTCATCCCACCACCAGCCGACGGGGGCTGTCGTTGGTAGTAGCGTGCTAGGGAATGCATTCGAATAATTGAGGTTGATGGCGTTTCGATCATACGTGGCAAATGGAGCGGATTGGTTGGACAGCATGTTATCCATCAGGTCACTAGCTCCAACCTCATACAACTTCAGTTCAATTCGGTAGTTGTCATCTTCTGAGAACACCTTGAAAGAGTTATATTCCGTCGAATACCAGCTGCCATCATCGGCTGCCATCTCTATCCTCAACCTCCAGTAACGTCGGGCAATCAGGCGGTAACGAAGCGTTGTTTGGTTGACAGCACGTGCCGTGGTCTCTGTAAAATTTGTCTGATTCATATTCGATGTTGTAGTTTCTGAATAGTTGTTCGCGGGTGACAGTGTTGATATTGGCAAATCGCTGCTAACATCGCTTGTCGTAAGCATTGTTGCTGTTGTTGTTAGCGGCAAATCATGGCTAACATCGCTTGTCGCAAGCGTGGTGGCAGCAGCCGTCAGTTCATTCATCGTTTTTTCTGGAATAGGCGATGGCGTTGGAATGTCTAAAATGCATTATAATTAGTGGTTAGTAGGTTTTGAAAAATCGAATAGTGGATGTAAAATAATTTATTACCTGGAAAGATTTTGTAACAAGACAAGTTGGTCAACTGGTGAAGGATTTCGTTACCTATCCAATAATTAAAGTTGAAATCTATGGTAGGGTCATCAAGTGAGTTAAAACCTTCCTTGAATTCCATCCAAGATTTGTTGAAATAATTTTCACCATCACTGCTCCACATTTTACTTTGTACGAGTATCCAGTTCAGTTCAGGTATTTTGATGAGAGTACCATTCAAGTCACCGCAAACGATTGGCATTGAAACGATCGAGATCTTCTGCTCTGTTGAGGGGAAGGTTCAAATTTATTCAAACAACTTTCATGTCGCTTGATAAAATTATTTGATAAAACAATATCGCTATGTGTAAAATTTTAAATCTCAACAAATATTTGTCTTATCGAATTATCACAAAATGTTTTAAAATTTATAGGGCTGTTCAATTTAATTGCTTGGATTAATTTATAAATATATTTAATAATCATTATAAAATCGTTCATTTATTAAAACTTTGAAGTTATATTACGTTGTAAAAAATTTATGCGCAAGAGGAAAAATTCAATGACCCACCATAATTGTACCTATCGCAGGTGGCCCAGTAAACGAATGGGTCGTCGACGGAGGAGCCGCTGTAGAGCACCGGACACACGGAGGTGTTGCAGTTCCCAGGAATGTGAGTGTAGATTATCGAACAGGTTTCCCTGTAGAGCGAACCGTTCAACGTGAAAGGGAAGAGACAACCTGAGGCCGACGCCGTCGCTGTGAATTAGTCACATTTTTGAAGCAATTAGTTTACAGTGGTTAAAATAAAAATAAAAAAGACATAAATTTGTGGCTGTGAATATTCGAGTTCACTGTCGTCGGTGAATCTGCGTCCAGTCCGTGATTGTCATGTAGAATTAGGATTGAGACTGTCGGTGTTAATTAACATCGCCGCCTTTTATGCACTGTTAAGATTGTAATTTAACTTCTTTATTTTTTCTAACTTATTTGTTCAAATTTGCTCCTGATCAATTCTCTGAAAGTAATATATATAATCAACTAAACGAAAAGTTATTATTTATATTTTTAACAATATTTTTATTTTACACACGCGCACACACACTTAACTCCAAAAATTGAACTTCGAATTTGAATTCTTTAGTAAATTGTTAACTGCATCTTTTTCAACAATGATGATATATTTCATCTAATTATCAATAAACAAGAGTTTTGTAATTATGAACTTAGAAGGATCTGTGTTGTAGTTGTATCACAATAAATATCCTATGTGAAAACGCGACACAAAGGATATTTCTTGTGATTGATATGTGGTGTTTTTCAAATAATTCTTTATCGATCTATGTTATTTGCGCATCGTCAGTCTTCCGGTAAGCGTTGTAGTCGTCATATCAATATATTTGAAATTTTGGTGCCCGCACTAACCAATTGTGCATTTAAAAGGATATATGAGATAGCTTGCTTCTATAAATGAATTTGGTTTGATAGAGAAATTGTTATTTATTATTACAAGGTAAGTCTAGTTCATAGTGGAAAATGTTCTGAATTTTATAGAATCGTTTGTGTTAGTGGCTGTTACATAGCTTTTCATTATTATTTTCATAATCTTCTCATCAGTTTTGCAGGCAGATGACATTGTTTTTATGGTATATTACATTTTTTCATTAGTGTCATAGTTGCTGTTCTCATGTTAATCCATTCATGTGTTTTAATGTTGATTTTCTATTGAATCGTTTCGTTTCTTTGTGATCTTTTATATCCATTGGTTATTGGTAAACTTGTTATCCGATGGAGTTTTTTTTCTTTCTTCCAGGTTAAATAATTGGAAAATTGCAATATCATTAAAGGATCTGATGGTGCTTAATGGTACTTACAAAAGTAAGCTTTTATATGTAGATTTGATGTATTCTATTTAATGTTTTGTACAAAAAGCTTCAAGTAAAGTAAGTTTATGTTGATTTTTTGTGGTGAATTTTAGTCTTGTGCCATTGAAAGTAAGTGACAAAAATATTATCAACGTACCTGCAATTTTTTTTGGCAACGTTTTCTATTTGGAGGACAGCGTTTCA